AAATAAACCCAGCATTTTACAGGAACAACAGACTTATAACTTTAATAAGACTGCCCTCCTTCCTGCATTAAAGTCTACAGTATATGACAAATCAGGTTAAGTAAGCTGGTATCAAATCTGATGCCAAACTAGTTTTTCAGCCAAACCTTAATTTTCTGAAGACCTTCAAGCTTATTTTCCAGTTGTTAAATTATTGATAAGGAAAATCAATTCTTTTTCTGGCTCAGGCAATATCATACAGTCACAGTATACACAATGATAGCTATGGTAGCTTTTCCATTTTAATACCTTCACAACCCTTTTGAATTAAATTACCTATCTTTTCCGCTTTAGAATCCAGACAAACAGTCACTACAGACAGCTTCACAACTTCTGTTAACTTCAGATGAGAATAAAAGATTTGTCTGCACACAGACTGTCAGAAACAGACAAAAAACATGCGAGGGACCTGCAAACTCCTAATTTATTTATTAAATGAATATTATTTATCCACTATAATTTTTAGACACTTGAGCAAATAAACTGCAATGCATTCTGTTCTGATGACAGTTTTCTCAAAGGATCTGAAATAATACAATATTTCCCACCCAAAGAAGCAACAGAAGAACCACAAACAAGTCTGGGAGAAACAGGCAGATGGCAAGAAAAGTTCTTTGTGAACAGTAACTTCCAGAAACTTAGGAGTATCTACATAAACACTTTTGCTTAGATATTTTATTCCATGGAGTATTAAGCTTTTCAGCCCCAATGATTTTATTCAGTTTCTACCTCCTAGCATTTCCAGAGGGTATCTTGAGCACAATGCGTAAGGTGATGTAACCTTTTGTAAAAGTATCTCAATCATTACAGTGCAAGATACATAAAATAAGGAAGAAGATAAAACAACACTACCAGTCTTTCCTGGTTGTAAAGTAAAAGTAGAAAAGCAGTAGAGAGCCAGCAATTATTTGCAAAGGACTAAAAATCCTCATCATGCCCTATCCCAGAAATACCCTAACCATCAGTTTTAGGACCTAATAATGTCATATGGCGAGTTAATGGAGAAGTCTCATGAGCTTTCCTATTGAAGATGTCCAGTTAAGTATATAATATGGAAATATCTGGTCACCTACACAAAGGAAAAACTGATTCTCCAGGTTAATAACTATGTTTCCTTCTGTTACTGGACACCTCAGACTACATGCTATTGCATCATTATGCAAAGTAAAAAAGTCCTAACAGACAAAAATGAACAGCTGTGTGCACACATACAGATGTATATTTTGTCCCAGTTAAGATACCCTCCAAGACTTCTGTACCCAACACAAAAAAATTTGCTCCCAGTTCTCTGATGAGTATCCCCTGAACAGACAAAAAAGCAGCTTCTCTTCTATAAGTGACGTGAGGCAGCAGTGCTGTAGCTCCCCAAATGTTCCCAAATTAAACCATTTAGCAAAAAGAATGCAGTTGCAATTAACTACTGAACCAGCAAATGCACATTTTTTAATGAATCGTCTCTAAAAACCCCTACTCAGTTCTAATACAAAACCCGTCATAGTGGTAAGTAATAAGCACCTGTTTTTCAGTCATCCACAATTCAAATATGAGATACTATCTACAGCAAATACCTAGACAGGGAAACTATTTGAAAAGCATACCAAAAAAACTCAAAACGCAGTGAATTGATTTATTTATTGTAAATCACTCTTTCTAAGGACTGATTTCCATGGTAGCTTCCGACGCAAGTAAATGAGGAATTTACTGTGGCAGGAAGCTTACCCCAGTGCTTTAGAGAGAGCTCACCCGCCTAGGCAAAACACAGCCATTCGCAGAAGGTAAATAACAGGTGTTATTTTTCCTTCTCCTTCTTCTTCTTACTCAGCTGCTACTGCCGGCCCTGCCTCTCTACCCATGAAGCCCTACGGAACGCGCGCTGCTCCCCACTCGAGGGAGAGCAGCAGCAGCGTGGGCGCAGAGGCCCCGCAGCGCTTCCCACCCGCCCTGACAGAGCTGCCCACCCCTCGCAAACCTCCCAGCCGGCGCTGCAGGGCCGCGGCTACCGCAGCAGGGGACCGCGGCCCCCCGGGA